CACCCTAGCCCTTCCCCTTCACCACCCCTGCCCTACCCCACCCCTGCCCTCCTCCACTACCACCCCAGCCCTTCCCCTTCCACCCCTGTCCTCCCCCACTACTACCCCAGGCTTCCCCCTCCACCACCCCTGCCCTCCCCCACTATCAGTTCCCTCCATCCCCTACTGTCCCTACCCTCCCCTACTACCACACCCCACCCCGTTCTACCCCTGACCCCTTCCACCCCAGTCCTCCTCAACTACCACCCCACCCTCCCCCACTACCCCCTGCCCTCCCAAACCACCCCCGCCTCCACCAGCCCTCCTTCACTACCAACCCCTGCCCTCCCCAATATCACCTCCTTCCCTCCCCACCACTACCCCTGCCCTCTCCACTATCACCCCTGTCTTCTCCCACCACCCATGGTCTCCTCTACCACTCCTAGCCCTCCCCACAAATTTCTTGCCATCCCCAACACTCCTTTCCCCTACCCCACCACTCCCTGCCCATCCTTCACTCTCACCTCTTGTCCTCCCCACCAAAGCCTCTCCCTACCACCACCCCATGTCCATCTCATAGCCCCCTGTCCCCACCCCCGCCCCCTACCTCCTCACACGATTATTTATTCGTAGTGGGGAAGACCATCAGTGGAGCGACGAGTTGTAATCGGCCCTTTTGTGTCACCACCATACTGGAAGAGGGGGTGGGGGGGGTGGTGGGGGGCTATGTTGGATGATAGTGGGTGATAGGGCTGTAACATGATAGGGGCTGTGATGGATGATGTGGTAAAAAGAAGTGCAGTCTGGTGGATGAGTGAGGATGATGTGGAAGAGATAAAGGTTATAGTGTATGATAGAGGGCTGTGGTAGGTGATAGGGGACTGTGGTGAATGACAGGGGGCTGTGGTAGATGAAAGAGGGATGTGGTAGATGATAGAGGGCTGTTTTAGATGATAGGGGGCTGTGGTGAATGACAGGAGGCTGTGGTAGATGAAAGAGTAGTAAATGATAGAGGGCTGTGGTAGATTATAGAGGGTTGTTGTAGATGATAGAGGGCTGTGGTAGATGATAGATGGCTGTGGTGAATGACAGGGGCTGTGGTGAATGATAGGGGGCTGTGATAGATGATAGGGGCTGTGGTGAATGACAGGAGGCTGTGGTAGATGATAGGGGGCTGTAGTGGATGATAGGGGCTGTGGGTGGATAGGGACTGTGGTAGATGATAGGGGCTGTGGATGATAGGCAGCTGATGATGGGGGCTGTGGTAGATGACAGGTGGCTGTGGTAGATGACAGGGGGGCTGTGGAAGATGATAGGGGCTGTGAATGGATGAAGATTGAATATGGTGAAGTGGAAGAGGAGGACTGACTGTGGTGGAGTGGAGGGAGAGGACTGCCCGTGGTGGAGTGGAGGAGAGGACTGACTGTGGTGGAGTGGAGGGAGAGGGTTGATTGTGGTGGAGTGGAGGGAGAGAGGACTGCCCGTGGAGTGGAGGGAGAGTGGAGGGAGGGAGAGGACTAACTGTGTGGAGTGGAGTGGGGAGAGGGTTGACTGTGGTGGAGTGGAGGAGAGGGTTGACTGTGGTGGAGTGGAGGAAGGTTGACTGGAGTGGAGAGGGTTGTGGTGGAGTGGAGGGAGAGGACTGGAGGAGTGGTGGAGTGAGGAGAGGTGACTGTGGAGTGGAGGGAGAGGACTGACTGTGGTGGAGTGGAGGGAGGGGTTGACTGTGGTGGAGTGGAGGGAGAGGGTTGAGTGGAGGGAGAGGACTGACTGTGGTGGAGTGGAGACGACAGATAAAAAAACAAGCAAATGAGTAGGAGACAAGAAGATACAGGTATACAGGTGACTGAAGAAGATGAAGATGGTTGGAGAAAACAGAATGTGGAGAGGAGGGGAGGATAGGGAAGGGGAGGATAGGGAAGGGGAGGATAGGGAAGGGGAGGATAGGGAAGGGGAGGATAGGGATGGGGAGGGAGGGATAATGGCGTGGGAGGGGATTTGGACTAGGACAGAGGGGGTAGGGAAAACATTAGGGAGCTACCTACCAACTCGTGTCCCATCCTATAGGCCTCAGACAAGCAGGTTATAAATATAAAAAATCTTACCTTATTAAGTTTGAAAAGTACGACCCACTACGTCGGTATATTTAATGAACGGAGGAGAGTTTCTCAAGTATACTCGCATAAGTGTGAGTGTGAAACGCCAGGGGCTGTCACTCCTGTAGTAGGGATGAGCCAGTATGCGGGAGGTGGTGACTGGCAGACCTATCCTGTAGTAGGGATGAGTCAGTATAAGGACTGGCTCGACACTCCTAGAACACCCCCAAAATAGTGCCAGGCTCGCGATGTTACGCAGGGAAGCCGCAAGAATGGCGGCCCATTCCTCACTTCTTTTACTTCCTCCGCGGGCGACTTTTGTGTTGCAAGGAAATAAAGGCTACACACTCTTGCTGCTGTAAATGATCTTAGTTCTTTCCTGGCGTATCAAAAGCTCCCGGACCCCAGAATTAATTGGAAGGATTCAAAGCAGCCTTGGATGTGAAGCGGCCTATGTGTGGAGGGTCGGCCGTCCTGTGTCCTGCTAATGGGACTCTCGCTCTTCTGGTCATCTGGCGCCCCTGGCTCTCCCAGGCTCTACCTTTCCAAAATTCTATTCATGGTGTGCTATCTTAGCTCCCCATTGTATTCGGCGGATGGGATGGGAATCAACTAGCTATTTGTGTAAGTTTTCCTTACTCTTCCAGCGGCTAGGTCAGGGTCATCATCTGTCACCTATCCATTTCAATTTCCTCCATCCACTAACATAGTGAGAAGCCCCAATTTTTCCCCTTTACGAAGTCTTTCTATTCCGCGCCTACCTGGCTTCCCTACCCGCCACACCATGCAATAAGAGGCAAAGAATAAGCCTTGATAAAAAAATCACATTTCCTTCAATTGTTAATCCAAGAAAACACAGAGTTGCAAATCCGCTGCCAACTTTAACGCCCGTTTTCTATAACAGCAGCGAGTTTCACCCCTGACTATGTTAATCGAACATCGGGCTCAGTCACTTGTGGTAAGGTGCCTCAACACTCCCTTACCCACAAGTAAAACAACACACATCTATCGTTAACCCATTAATCTGTCATACGCAGTCCAAGAAACAGCAAAAATTATTCCAGAAGAAGAGGGTCAATGCGCGTTAAAGTATATTGAGATTCCCTGAGTCGGGTAACGGCCAATGGAGCCAAGCCAGGAGTAAAGTTTTAAACAAGCTCGCAACATGTTAATGAGGGGGGAAATGGAAAAACATTTATGGAAAGTAGGCAACCGTGAATTTTTCATCAGCCGCCTAAATGGAAAACTTTAGGGAACGCTTTTAATTTGATGTGCGGCAGAGCTGGTGAATGAAAAGTCGGGGAGAGGGAAGGAGGGTTAAGGCCCCTCGCACACCCATTTATTATTCTCTTACTACACTTCTCATTTATTTAGTCTACAATTACCAGCTCTGCGAGTTTACCAGAATTTATGTACACTTTTTAAACCGATTTAAATGTGTCCTTGTCCTGAATTATATATCAAGAAAAATATATTTGTAATGTTCAAAGATCGGGAGTTACTTACGAGTTATCTAGTAATTCACACACATAATAACCTTACGTGCATACCTTTCCTTTGTCTTACCAGTTCGTCGATATCACTTTTTTTTCTGTCAGTTGAACCATTGAGCAGCAAATATAATTAATATCGCAAGTTGTTAGGTGTTAGTCTTAAATTAGTTAGAAATCATGCAGACATGCAATGGGCCAAGCATTTAGTACAGGATCAGTGCTGCAAAGTTGACAGTTTGGTCAGGGAAGAATGTTACACCCCAACTCAACTCTCCAGAGTGTGTGTAGATGGTCACTTGGTGTACTCCACTTAGTTCATCCTCTCCATCTACAAATCACTCTACTCCAAATATCTTCATCTACATTGATCGTTATGTTAATAGAAGGAAGACGTTATCTACCAGTCACAATATTACGTCTCTTTTCCTCTACGGCAATCAAATGTCTACTGTAATTTCAAACTTCCGCTACTGAACTACCATCCACTCGTGCTTATAAGTGGTGAGAGTAGCGACGGGCGGAGAAGGCTGCTGTACCTTCACACACTGCCCCAATGCTCTCTATCCCAAGCCCCAGGATGCTTCCAGATAATACACACTACAGTGATCACCGACCAGGTCAAGCCAACACAGTTTGGGGAGACTTTGTTGTCTCTTCCACTTATGGACTGTTTATTGACTGACTTACAGGTCATTTTAAATGACTGACTGTCTATTTGACGGACTGACTTACCAGCACGGTTACTTTGATCAATCATTGGCTGCACTATACGACGTCGCGCATTGATGAACCTTGGGGAGGAGAGAGAAAGAAAGAGGGTTAAGACGTGAAGCAGTGCGGTACCAACACCACGCCCTGCCGCGGCCCCATTTGGGAGAGGTGTGGGGAAGCTCAAGTCCCGCGGGATACCCACTTAGGACAATACAGGGCTTCAAGGTCTTAAAGAAGCCATGGGGAGAGTCTGGGGCCATGCAGTAAGTAATAGATGAGAGAAACATAAGCAACACAAGACTTGGCCAGGTCGTGGGTGTCTTGTGCGCCCGTCCTCTACATGTTGGCAATATTGCAATGACCTGAAGAAAGATAGTCAAGACCCAGCAAGCAGAGGTGACCCCATGGCCTCTAGTGACCGCCGGCTAACCCCGAGGGTAGCCAGCTACCCAGACAGTGGGTCTGTGGCCGGGCAGGTGAGGCAAGCGTGAAGCAGAGGGAGACAGTGCACGCGTGGGTGAATATGGGCGTATGCGTAGGTAGGAGTGTGTGGACATGTGATTGGTGTGTGCTACCCTCACCCTCAGCACCTGAAAGCCCAAACAGGAGGACAAAAAAAAAATAAAAGAGACTAATGATCATGTGATATTGTTCCTCCTGCTTGTGGGCGTGCATTGCTGTAGGCTTGGGCTGGCGTGAGCTGTGTTACGGAACGACTTACCACTGGCGCCCGCACGGTTCGATTGATCTATGAGAGGCTGAACTATCCGCCGGCGGGCATTGATAAACCTGTGGGGTAGTCATGACAAAACTTAATGCTACTAATTGTGCAATATGTGCAGCCCCTCTCCATCTGCTACAGCACGACTCCTCCTCAGAACCTGTCTGTGGGGAAACTGACAAGCAAGAGTACACCATTATCTGCACTCTTCTCATCCACATAACACATAATTATAACACCGAATATATTGAAACACATATGTATAGTTTTAACCAGTTACGTTATAGTTTATATACTGTCTAAAATTGATCAAAAGTGTGAAAATAAAATATGTAATAATATGTATTACTTAAGAGGTATTAAAAGTATAATGAAATATAATAATCAGATAAAAATTATCATTCTAAATCTAGGGGGAATCAGGACGCGTGTGATACAGTACCTGGAATGATTGATAACATTTAATTAGTACATCATTAAACAATACATGAAACGAAATTGAAAGAGCCACGTTATGGTAACCGGAAGAACCTTTACCACCCTGTATTATCACCCTATCATCAGTATTACCACCCTACCATCAGTATTACCACCCTAACACCAGTATTACCACTCTACCATCAGTATTACCACCCTACCATCAGTATTACAACCCTACCATCAGTATTACCACCCTACCATCAGTATCACCACCCCACCATCAGTATTACCACCCCACCACCAGTATTACAACCCTACCATCAGTATTACCACCCCACCATCAGTATTACCACCCTACCATCAGTATTACCACCCCACCATCAGTATTACAACCCTACCATCAGTCATAACCACCCCACCATCAGTATTACCCCACCATCAGTATAACCACCCCACCATCAGTATTACCACCCCACCATCAGTATTACCACCCACCAGCAGTATTACCAATCTCTACCATCAGTATCACCACCCCACCATCAGTATCACCACCCCACCATCAGTATTACCACCCCACCATCAGCATTACCACCCCACCATCAGTATTACCATCCCCACCATCAGTATTACCACCCCACCATCAGTTACCACCCTACCAGCAGTATCCCACCATCAGTATTACCACCCCACCATCAGTATTACCACCCCACCATCAGTATTACCACCCACCATCAGTATTACCACCCTACCAACAGTATTACCACCCTACCATCAGTATCACCACCCCACCATCAGTATCACCACCCCACCATCAGTATTACCACCCCACCACCATTACCACCCCACCATCAGTATTACACCCCACCATCAGTATTACCACCCTACCATCAGTATTACCACCCTACCATCAGTATTACAACCCTACCATCAATATCACCACCCCACCATCAATATTACCACCCCACCATCAGTATTACCACCCTACCATCAGTATTACCACCCTACCAGCAGTATTACCACCCTACCATCAGTATTACCACCCTACCAGCAGTATTACCACCCCACCATCAGCATTACCACCCACCATCAGTATTACCACCCTACCAGCAGTATTACCACCCCACCATCAGTATTACCACCCTACCATCAGTATTACCACCCTACCATCAGTATTACAACCCTACCATCAATATCACCACGCCACCATCAATATTACCACCCCACCATCAGTATTAGTACCCCACCATCAGTATTACCACCCTACCATCAGTATTACCACCCCACCATCAGTATTACCACCCCACCATCAGTATTACCACCCAACCATCAACATTACCACCCTACCATCAGTATTACCACCCTACCATCAGTATCACCACCCCACCATCAGTATTACCACCCTACCAGCAGTATTACCACCCTGCCATCAGCTGAATTTTTCACACATCTTCACTTCCTTGTAAATTAAAAACTTTTCTCGTCTTCAGTTAACTAGGAGCATAAAACATTTCCACAAACCACAATGAAATACTCAAGTTTTGAATCTTACGTGTACTCGTCTACCGTGCGTCGCCGAGGTGAATTATTGCTAATACTCGTAAACACTTTCAGTCTGAGATGAGTCCAAGTTGCTGGTCTAGTGGGAATGTGGTGGCAGGGTGGTGGTAGGCGGAAGTGTGGGTGGCAGGTGGAGTCGTGGGCGGAGGTGTGGGTGGCAAGAAGGTGGTGGTGGGGGAATTGTGGGAGACAGGTTGGTGGGGGCGGAGGTATGGGTGGCAGGGAGGTGATGGCGGACGTGGGATGGCAGGGAGGTGTTGGTGGAGGTGTGGGTGGTGGTGGCGAGGGTGTGGGAGACAGAGTGGTGGTGCAGGCAACAGGGTGGTAGTGCTGGGTGTGTGGGCAGCAGGGTGGTGATGCTGGGGGTGCAGGCGGGGAGCTCCTCGCCCATCACTGCCACCGCCCTGGACTCTCATTTTCCAGCTCACCAGAGACACAACACCCGTGGTAGTTGACCTCCTGGGGCTAAGGTTTTCAACTTTTTTTTTTTTTGGGTGGGGGATCTTTCAACTTTTAATGTCTTCTGTTATCATTCACTAAGGTCTAAATGTACTTAATAATAGTAATGGCAAAAATAAGTTAATTTTCAGCATCATTATATTATAAGCATACCACATCTACAGTAGCCTAGACCTCCACCTTCAGTATATGCCACCACCTACCATATCAACAAGCACCACCAAACGTCTTGGGAGTAAACGACCCGAGAGCAACAGCTTCCTCTCCTGAACAAAATCCAACCCACAACATATCCAAACTTAATCTTCCCATAGACACACTTGGGGAGGCGACATTTGCCGTTCCATCGCACACGATCGACATTCAGTCGACTTCCAGGTTCCAGAGGCAAGCTTCTGGACGTATCTCAGCCTCGAGGACCCGCCAACTGTCCGTAAACACACGCACGCCGTCTTGGACTTAATTTTCCACCTCAGTTGAGATCCCTACTGGAGGTGCAGCGATGGAGGGTGAAGGGGGATGGGGGGGGCGAAGGGGGATGATGGGGGCGAAGAGGGGTGGGGTGGATGTAGTTGGGTGGTGGTAGGGAGATGAACATTGTGGTGGTAGAGGAGTCGTTAGCACAAAGGAGGGTAGTAGAAGGTAGGCTGAGTCGGAAGTACAAGGGAATAAGAGTAGGTTTATTTGATAGAACAAAGAACCATAACACAAATGGAGCTGCGACACAAGAAGTTTCTTGGTCGTAACAAATGGCGGCAACAAATAGAGGAACGAGAGGTGGTGGGCTGTAATGAACGAAGGCAGAATATTTAAAAATCAGAATAATTCATCGATGAAACAAACACATGGAAAAATCCATTCGGAAAATCTTAACTGAAGCATTTACGTATCGATCCTCTATTATCATTCTTCCGAATTTCTCACAGATTCCTAAATCCGAGGATAAGGAGGAATAAATCCAAGGATATCGGAAACGCGGGAGTCCCAAAGCCAGCCAATCCTGGCTTGCCATCGTCGCCTGGGTTCGCATCCTCTGGGTGTCGGCTAGACGTGAAAGTCCAGGAAAAGAGAGAGAGAGAGAGAGAGAGAGAGAGAGAGAGAGAGAGAGAGAGAGAGAGAGAGAGATACTGTATATAACACCCCATACGAATTCCATACATTTCCTTTTCTTTATAAAAGTAATCAAACATTTTCATTTTATATTTATCAATCCCTCTGACTGGTTAAGTTTTTATAACAGAACCTGAACTTTTAAACTCCAGAATCAACCCAAAACAGTATTTCCTCTAACCTACTGTACACAACCTTAACGACTGTAACAATGAAAACGTTACAAATATTCCTGCTGACCCTCGACTTTGGTAGCACAAATCACCCCATTCCATCTCGAAGGGAGTCTGGAATCTGGAATCAGGAATTGGGTGAGGTTGACGAGGGCGGCGACGAGTGTTCCCAGGAATCAGGGTGTTCCATCTGGGAATGACTGGAATTATCGACAGCGGCGGCCCCTTGAGAGAAGAAAATCTCGGCGGCCGCTAACAACTTGGAGAGAGAAGGGGAGGAAGAGGGTGGTAAGGGGGAGAAGGGGAGGAAGAGGGTGGTAAGGGGGAGAAGGGAAAGGTAGGAGAAGATTAAGAAAGGGAGGGAAAACGTATAAGGGAAGGCGGAAATGACTCAGCAACGGAGAGGCGAGAAAGAATGTATGTTAGTGTAAGAAAGGATGACAAGGAGGTGAGGAGGAAAAGACTGGCAAGAAGTGACAGAGGACAAAGACAAGAGGGGAAAAAAATGTTACTATTCTGTAGAGAGATGAGGAAGAGGAGTTTCTTGACTGAAAGAAAAAGTTTATAAAGGGAGAGACAAAGTAAGGAGAGAATACGAAGGAAATGAAAGAAATGAAAAATATAAAATTAGTCAGGGAGATCCAACACGAATGGCGTTACAAAGAGTTACTAGAGAATGTAACAACGACAATTGATCAGCGTAAGAAAGAAAGAAAGAAAGAAAGAAAGAAAGAAAGAAAGAAAGAACTTAAATACGATGATAAACAAAATAAAACACAGGTGAAAACGATGACCTTCGTAATAAAACGTGGTATAGATCTCAGACAAAATACAAGTCCCTTTATTAACACAGTAACAGCAAATATATAAAGGGATAGAAGTACTGCACTGGTCACACAAGTAGTCATTTACACAGCAGAATAGCCAGGGAGGAGATGGAGGTGTGTTGTGGGGGAGGGCGGGGCGGCTCAGGTGGCCTGGCCGGGGTAACATGATGGGGCGGTGTTTCCCTCCTCGGCCAACAGAGGGTGCGGCCTTGCCCGTCTGGCCCATCCTTGTCCCCCTTATGCCAGTGTCATTAACATGGAATTGCATCACAACCAGCTGTTTGTGTTTACTGTGTACTAAGGCACAACAAATAAATGTTATTACTGACTGACTGACTGACCCAGTGAGCCAAGTCTTCTCCTTCAGTTCACTCCCGTGGTGCTGTCAGTATTACGATTTATACCATGTTAAATGACTCACTCTCGGTCACCTTTGCTTCTATTTTGAATAAGTTAATGTTGTTTGTAAATTTTATCCTCACGATAAAATAAGAACCGAATAAAATCTGAAATAAACAATAT